CTTTCATTCATTCCTGCGTGAGCCATGCGGAAGCGCTGCCACAGCGACTTGTGAAAGGAGGTCTGCAGATGAGCCCAGAGGACGCAGTGGGCAAGAGAGGAGTTAGTATAGCGATAGGTTAGAGGCAGCGATAGCTGCCATAGCTGTAGTTAGTAGCGAGTGTGTGTGTGTGTGTTCGAGTGTTAAGAGATGCGTGTGGGATATCCAGGGTGATCCTGTGTGTGTGTGAACAGTGATTTGTTTGGGCGCTGAAGTCGCCATAACCAGTTAAGAGTGAACTCGTATCCGGAAGCCATATCTCTGAGTTTTGAGTGGGCGCATGTCGCCAGTTTGCTGCGTTGCTGTTTACATGCATGAAAATTGTGTTTGAGAATGAGTCTGATTGCAGGAGGAAGTATGGAGGAGAGGAAGGTGGTTGAGTGAAGGACGAACGGAGGGAGGATGCAGGTCGCACAGATATCAAGCCGATGGAGGGAGGAGGTCGCAGAGGGAGGAAGTAGGGGCGTTGAGCAGGGAGGGTACAGGTCGAACGAACGTGAGGTTCGATGGAGAGCAGGCTCAGGAAAAGAGGAGGTCACGGAAACCGAGAGGAGGGAGGAGCCCACACAGGGAAGAGGGGGGACGGAGGTAGGAAGGAGGGGGAAATGACGTTGGATGAACTCCGACAGAGAGACCAGGCGGAGGCAGGGAGGAGGTGGCAGAGGTCAATCAGAGGGGGTAAGGAGGGGGAACAGAGGTTGGACAGAGCTCAGGCAGTGGGGGGAAGGAGGTCTAGCGGAGATCAAGCGGAGGAAGGAAGGATGGGAGAAGGGGGGAAGGATTGAGGAGCTGGGGTGAAAGAGATCAGGTGGATGGAAGCAGGGCGGAGGAAGGAGGGGGGAAGGAAGCGGGAAAGTGGTCGAGCGGAGACAAGGTGGAGCCTGGGAGGAGGTCATGGAGGTTGGGAAAAGAGAGGTAGGAGGGAGGACAGAGGGATGAGGGAGCGAGTAGGAAGGGAGAAGGGAGAGAGGAGGGTGGACTGGGTAGGAAGGAGGCACTCGGGCAAAAATGGGATGGAGGGAGGCGTGTCAGAGAGCGGAGATTGAGCACACGTAGAGGTGATATGCAGTGGAGACCATGCAGAGGGAGTAGGGAGCCGCAATGAAGGCCAAATGAAGTTCCCAATTTTAAGAGAATTCACGCTAAGATAACAGATCCAGCGGTGCGTGCTTCTACATGAGCTTCACGTAGAGGTGATATGCAGCGGAGACCAAGCAGAAGGAGTAGGGAGCCGCAATAAAGGCCGAATGAAGTTCCCAATTTTAAGAGAATTCACGCTAAGATATCAGATCCAACGGCGCGTGCTTCTACATGAGCTTCAGGTAACCACATACGAACTGGTACCATAGGTACTTACACTGCAAAAGATGTAAAAAAAGCAATCCATATCAATATTTGACGTCGTTCGCTAAATTCTGTTGTTAATAGGAGTTGTAAATCAGTGGTCAGCTGGACAGATGGAGGGAACAAGGAGGTGACGGAGGTAGGAAAGAGGTCGGGAGGAGGTAAGAAGGACGTCGGTTGGAGAGAGGAAAGGCAGAAGACATGGGGGAGGGGAGACATGCAGCTGGTGAGGCGGAAGTTGGGCGGAGGTCAGGCAGAGCAAGGGAAAGGAGGGACAAAGACGGGAGGAAAGCAGTCGAGTGGAGGGAGGAAGGAAGTGGAAAGGAGGTTGAGTGGAGGGAGGAAAGAGGGGAAGGAAGGGGGAAGGCGGGGAAAAGGAGGTCGTGCAGACTTCAGGTGAAGAGGGATATCAAGGAGGTCGAGTGGAGGGAGGAAGTTAGGCAAAGAAGAAAAATCGAAGACGAAGCAGAAGTAAAGAATCAGCAAAGTAGAAAAGAGAAATTCAAAGCATCTCTCTCTCTGGGAAGAGATCATGTGGCGAGGGAGCAGATCGAGAAGGTTGAGTAGAGGAAGGAAGTTGGGAAGAGGAGAAGAAAAATGGAAGAAATAGAAGAGGAAGTATACAAGAAGACAAAGCAGAAGTAAAGAATAAGCGAAGTAGAAAAGAGAAATTCAAAGTCTCTCTCTCTCTCTCTCTCTCTCTCTCTCTCTCTCTCTCTCTCTCTCACACACACACACACACACACACACGCACACACACACACACGCACACACACAAGAGTGTGGAAGAGTGCCACGGGCTGCATTGCAGTTGCAGCAGTAATACCGCGCTGGCAGCGAAGGCATGGCAGTGTGAGGGGAAGGCACCGTGCAAGGCGCACTGCAAACACACGGCATAGCAGGTACCGGAAGTCGACTGGTGAGGGTTGGACTTGGTTTCGAGCACGCACCAGCTCCTGCCATCAGATGAACATCTCAGGGCCGCGCAATGGCCACGTTGAAAAATACCCAAAGCCCGCTGGTGGGACTTAGTGCCTCCCGGTACCACTTACCAAAATGCACAAAAGACAAATACTGCAGCAGTCTACACCTCCATGTTTTAGCAGAAGATTCCTTTGTCATTTTGCAAATTTGGTGACTGCTGCCGTGAGGCCCTTAGCCTTCGGTTGGTGGTGGAAGAGAGCCAGCAGACCACAGACCACTATGGGCCTCGCCACACCACTGTCGAAACAAAAAGAGAATGAATGCATCTTCCACAGAAATTGGTACGATGCATCCATCTGTACTCAACGGATGGATCTTGCCATTTCTCTGAGGGTAGATGCACTCATACGTTTCCGGTATCGACAGTGGTGTGGCAAGGCCCTACGCCGGAATCCAAAATATGCGGAAGAGGGCCTCGCTGCACATGGTCCGAAAAAAGAGAATCCAAAATGAAAATGAATCTTCTCCTAAGACATGGAAAGATACACCTGTTGCTCCATGATGGCATTTCGACTGCGGGGAAAGTGTTTCCATTCATCAGAAACAGTGAAAGAAAACCACACAACGCCAGAGCACCGTACTGGATTCGAGCCACACATGTCAACGACAATCATTGCAATGTCCGAGGCCCAAACCTTTCCTGCAAGTTTCTGACACGGCCCCCCCCACAAAGTTCGGAGACCCAAACATCCCTGCACGTTTCTGACCCCCCCCCCCCTTTTTTGCAATTTTTCCTGAGTGGGGATACGGGCCGCCCGGGTGACCGGCAGGGGCCCGGGGGAGGTACCGGGCGGCCTGGCCGGGCAGGGCACCTGGTTGGCGGCCGGGACCCCCCAGCGCACTCACCTGTCAGGGGATTTCGGACCCCTTTGTGTGTGTGTGTGTGTGTGTGTGTGTGTGTGTGTGTGTGTGTGTGTGTGTGAGAGAGAGAGAGAGAGGGAGAGAGAGATGTGTTCGAATCATACTTAATATTCTCATGCGCGGGGTGCCGCACGCACATGCACGCAGGCACAAGTGATGTGGTGCATTTAAAAAATACTAGTGTCCAGCCTCTTTTCGGAAGGATCCCTACAGCATATTAGCTAGGGACCAACGTCATGCAGAGATACACTTCAAACTTGTACTCCCTGAGGGTGGGCAGAGAATATATAGTCTGGATTCGAATTCAGGTCTGTGCATGTCGGTTATGGGTCACCATTTCTCTGTTTTCTTGCTTTTCTTTTCTTTTCTCGTTTTTTTTTTCCCTTAGGAATACGTGCAGTGGCCCTAAGGGCCCTTAATCACCAAATGCACAAAAGACAAAATATATGGTGGCGTATTATTCCACGTTCTGCAGAAGATTCATTCTAATTTTGCACATTCCGTGAGTAGTGCAGCCAAGCCCTAAGAGTCACGAGCAGAGACCAACAGGCCGTAGCTACATGAGCAACCCATAGCTATGTGAGTACATATTCGGCCAGCTCGTGCTCTATTTCATATTCACTGCCTTCCTCGATTTTGGTGGGGGGGTCTGCGCTACATGTCTGCGAGGACCCATCACAGACACCCCCCCAACCCCAGCACCCCCCACACAGACCAACCCCCCCATCCCCCCACCAAAACCATTTTTTTATTGCTGATTCGGGGTCCTCTCACCGAGAGCAGAACGACCCTGGTTTCAAAAAAAAAATTATGGGCGTTTTCCTGTCCTGCCCGGTTTACCCGGGCGGCCCCCCCCCCTGGCCCAACCAGCTGGGCCCAGCCCTGCAGGGCAGGCCTGGCCTCGCGGCGTGTCCTCACTCAGAATTTTTCCTTTTTTTCACCTCTTCTGCGAAACTGCAAAACGTCCAATCTCTCGAAAATCGCACGGATTCTGCGTCATGGCAGTGCACTATGCTGCATTCGAGCCCCCGTCTCTCCTTCAACATAGAAAGAAAACAGAAAAACAAAGAAGGAAACGAAACGACACGGAAAGCGAAAGGGAAAAGCACGATTTTTTTGAATCCATCCACAGCCGACCGTAGGTCGCAATCACATCCAACGTTGCACAAATTCTTGCACTGTGACAGGCAGGTCAGATTTCCATCAGATGTCTGAGAGTCCTTGATCCGATGGCTCGGCGCACTTGCAGCAAATTGCATGTGTGGCGGCCATTTGAGGCTGCGGAAAGTTGGATGAAGGAGGATAGCCGCAGATCAAACATCCGACGGCGGCCAACCACCAGCGCCCGCCACGCATGCAGCCCACGGCCGAAAAGCCTTAGTAAGGGCAGAGATATAAGCACTTTCGTTTTTTTTCCCTTTCGTTTTTGGAAGGCCATGGAACACACGCACTTTCAAAATCCATGGGGTCGTTTCACGAAATGGAGATTCTCAAACAAACGCTTGTGAAGTCGTGATGCATTCCAGGGCTGCCTGCAATCTCGAACCATAAAATGCCCAGAACATTCACTGTGTTACCCTGCATCGCATTAAGCTGGCTGTGTCTTTGATACCCTGCGTCGCATTAAGCTGACTGTGTCTTCCCACTCTGCGTTACCCTGCCCCCCCTGCCCTCCCAGCAATCTCTTGTACATGAACATTCACATAATACAAGAAACGTTATACAAACATTTCACATGATTTACTCGGGTTTCAAATCGTCACTGAATATACCTTAACAACAGCAGGCTCCCAGATGAAGTTCGCATATGTATCAATAATGCCTCCAGAGTTGATGTCCACTCCATACCGAGCTCCTTCTCCTGTTACACAGATGCAGTATGTTCTCAGAGACCCCATGGATAGCTTTGACGACCAGGCCATGTATGGGGGTTAAGGCAGACTGGGAGCCCTGTGAGTCCCTGTCAGTGCATGCACAGTGCCCAGATGTCCAATCTGATCCTCCAAATAGATTATCAACTAAGATGGGCATGCCTTTAAAACAAGATATCACCACTCTTCCTCAATCCCTCTCTTATGCAATTTTGACTGTTAGCTTTGCAGGTGACCGTACCTGATGCTAGAGCATGTTTCTGTCGCAGCTTGTTTAGCACATCTGTCGCATCGAACCCTGCATTATCACACAACTGCCGGGGAATCACCTGCAATCCAAAGACGCACAAGCTGGCAACCCTTTAGCATCTACAAAAAGAGAAACCTAGACAATAATCCAGAGAGTGTACTTCATTTCAGTTCATTTGGTATAATTCTCATACTTGATGCACAGACAATAACTGGACGTGCGTGTGCTTTCAACATAGCAAGGAGAATGCAACAGAGGAAGAACAGCCTGAATACCCAAAGATATTCAAAGGCAAACACAGGTCTCTCTCTCTCTCTCTCTCTCTCTCTCTCTCTCTCTCTCTCTCTCTCTCTCTCTCTCTCTCTCTCTCTCTCTCTAACTGTGCCTGCCTCAGGAAGGGCCACCAAAAGACAAACACAGGTCTCTCTCTCTCTCTCTCTCTCTCTCAAACTGTGCCTGCCTCAGGAAGGGCCACCACCATTCATTGGGTTCGGCAACCCACACACTCCAGGAGTGCACATAATGAATGGTCCTATGAACACTGCCGACACACATTGCAAATATAAGCCTCGGAGACCATATAATTCATGAATGAAGACGACATCACTTGCCTCAAGAGCCTTGGCATATGAGTTTATAAACAGCTGCGCTTTCCCAGCAATAGTCCGTGCATGCTGGCGTAAATATCTGCTCAGCTCCATCTGCAAAGAGACATTCACAGCAGAATTATACACTAAGACTATACATACATTCAACAAGACATTCAAGGAGACTATAAAACACAGGAAAAAAAAATTGACGCAGGCCAACACACCGGCAACCCGCCTGGCATATTTTAGCCTCACCATGGAGCAAGGGCCTATGCAAAGACTTCAAAGCAAAAATGGCAACATCTTCTTACACAATTGTCCCTGAGATTACGCTGCCACTCACCAAGAGGTGGTTCAGCAACAATCGAGCAATGCACGCAACAGTCTTCGAAAAACAATACATACGATTCAAATACGGCCTGACGCATTTTACAAAAAACTACGCTTTCCAACAATCTTCGGATTCTTCGCCCATGCGAACATCCAAAGGCCATTAGTGCAGGACAACGCTACGCCCCACAGCCCACTTAATACCTTTGGAAAATACCATGGCTACGCCGGAGCCCGACAGCTCAAGTCCAGGGACCGGACGCATGTCCGGTCACGTCCGGACGTTCGGACACATCCGGACCCTGGGCACACATGTTTCCGGACAGTCCGGGCCGGTAAACAGGTCCGGAGATGTCCGGACCATTAAAAAAAAAAAACTGAAATTGAGGGTCCTGGACCGTCACAATTGCCACAGAATCAACCTCATGACACCTTGCACATCACGAAACGATGCCATTCAAATAGGGTCGGACACATTTCAGCAAAAACTGTCCTTCCCAAAAATCTTCGCATTTTTTGCGCATCCGAACATCCAAAGTCCAGTAGTAGAGGAAAACCAAAAATATCTATGCGCAGCGTTACCGCCACAGCTCACTTTTGTTTTCCACAATGGCCACAAAATCAACCTCACAACATCTTAGGAATCCTTTTCACAATATGACAATGACATGTTTCACTTCACCACGCTGAGATTTTCCGGACAAGCTTCAGTTCTCCACACCGCGGGGAACTTCGTACGACTTCAAGACCCCACCATCCCGCAGAACCTACTGCAGAACTGTGAGGAGACAGGATATGGCCACGGCTGCATGCTTTGTTGATCCCCAAGAGAAGTCTCTCCCATCCCTTCTGAATGACACTGGACAACACCTGCGTCCTTCTGCTCTCCATGGAGAATATGGTAGACTGAGATGCCAACACGAAAACTCGATCAACCAAAGACACTCCACCAGAAAGATTGGGCAAAACACATCGTTGACTTACATCGATAGCACCTCCTCCAGGAACCACACTGGAATGCTTGACAGCTTTGCGGACGATCATGATAGCATCATGTAAGCTCCGGTCTGCTTCTTCTATGAACTGAAACAGAAAACACAGTGAGGTGAAGGTGTTGAGCGACGCTGTCACCTGGTTCATGTCAATTGAATGTTTCGCCAAATTGCAGCAGGAACAAAAGAGGAGTGACATGAATTCATAGACATCAATACCTTTTGGAGATGGTAATAGTGGAAGGGTTAGGGTTCACACTCGGTGAGCACGGCCATAATATACATAAATAGAGAAACGAAATTTCTTCATGTATCCACTAGATGGGCCGGTCCCGCTTCGCCCCCATCACAGAGACGTTTGATGGCCCCATCACAGAGAAGTTTGATGGGCGATGCAATGACTGCAAGAGGGAGGGGTAGGTAGGTCAGCAATCAAAACAATCGAAGAGTACGGTAGCAGCAAGACTTGAATGAAAGAAAGCCCCAAAAAAAGCTACAAAAAACATTAAGAGCACAGTTGAGACAGGGAGAGACAAACAGACAGACACGGACAGACAGATAGAGGAAGGGCGCTGTTCAGAGAGAGAGAGAGAGAGCGTGCAGTGTGAGAGAGAGAGAGAGCAGTGCAGAAAGATTGAAAATAACAGGACAGTTCAGACAGAGTGGGGGAGAGAGAAAAAGAGAGGGTGTGTGAGACAGCGAGAGACAGAGGACAGACCTATAGACAGACAGGCAGACAGACAGAAAGACATCGACACCAAGAGAGCAAGAGATAGAGAGAGCAAGGGGTGAAGATGGTGAGAGAGAGAAAGATACAGAGACAGAGAGAGAAGGAAAGATCCCAAGAGGGATAGAGTGGGAGAGGAGAGAGAGAAGGATAGACCCAGTCACAGAGAGGTGCAGCTGAAAAGCGCACAGGAGAGAGAAGGACGGTGAATTTTCACTACAATTACAAGCAATTAAAATGTTATCAGTAAAGTCTGACCACCTTATATAGTTCAATATGAAAAACCAATTAAAAGGTAACCTACATGGCCAACAGAACTATTGGCTTTGCATTGACTTGCTGCAGCTAATGCTCCTGCTTTCAGAAAAAAGAAGATTGTTCGCCATGTTCAATAATGAAAACTAAAAAGAAACACATGTAACAGTTTTGCAAGAACGGCAAATCTTAGGTGTTATAGAAACAAGAAAAATATATATAACAGAAAGAAAACAATTTGCAATATAATGTGACTGCTTTCGCAAAAGAAAAAAGCAGAAAAGAATACATAACAGGGTTACATCAGTGATCAAAAACAAAAGAAAGAGAGGGAAAAAAAGCTTCCTGCCAGATGTCGCTTTGTCCTGCTGACAATTAGATCGTAAGTTCGAATGCGTCGACATACGGCATCAATCAAGGTGGTTAGCTGGCACATAAACTTAATCCCTCGCTTCACATCACAGCACTCCAAATATATCTGAAGCTCTACAGCGACCCGATACATCAAAAATGTCGAGCGAGTCCAAGTACGTGGCATGTTTTTGCGTCCAGACACACGTAGAAAGTTTGCTGAGCATCGCATCACGCGCGGTGTCATTCAGAGTCAATCAAGGCGGCCCCCTGGCACATAAACACAATCCCTCGCTTCAATAAACAACAAATGTATACGGTACTTTGCAGCATCCCGATACATCCAAAATGTCTACTTAGCCCGAATGTATCTGGTGCATTCTGTGTCCAGACACACAGAATGTTTGTAGTGCATTTGACACCTTGGGCCGGTCAGCTCGACAAAGATACCGCAAGGACGTTGCCCTCAAAAAAATAAACAAAAAAAAAAACAGAAATGATTAGCAAAGAAAGGGCCTCGCTGCACTGTTTCAAGCGTGCCAGGCCCGCTACCTGTTAGGGGTGCCGAGGGCCGTCTGTGGGGTTCTCCATTCCGGACTTAGCATGCATGCACATTCAAGTTGTCGTACGGGGCACTAGAGGAAGTTTGAAGACGCCAGCTTGACTCACGGAGAGCAGCCTCGCTCAGAGAGAGAGAGAGAGAGAGAGAGAGAGAGAGAGAGAGAGAGAGAGAGAGAGAGAGAGAGAGAGAGAGGGAAGAGAGAGAGAGAGAGAGAGAGGGAAGAGAGAGAGAGAGAGAGAGAGGAGTTCAGGGAAGGGCGGAGACAGCATCGACGGCAGCAATCAGGCATCAAAGCTATCAAGGGCAGGGAGGGAGGGAGGGAAGGGGAGAGAGAGAGAGAGGAGCTCGTGGAAGGGCCGAGAGCAGCAGAGAGATGAGTTTGGGGAAGGGTGTAGAGCAAGCATCGAAGAGATCGACGGGAGGGCACCCTCATCGGCGGAGAAAGAGAGACACAGAGAGAGGCATCGAAGAGATCGAGAGGACCATTCGACTTGGATTGCTGCTCCGTGCTTGCATGTGCCTTCATCTGTGCGTTGTGTCGAACATTACTGTTCTGTGTCTTTATGAACCCTTCCCCAGAAACTGGAATGGTACATTGTCCTCCCTTTTGTCGTTTGTGTCGACTGCCCCTGGCTCTTCCACTGCTCTCCACAGGCACACACATGTGGTACATTGTCCTCAACTGGCGCCCAGGGCCTGTGCCCTTCGGGAATGGCACCCAGGGCCCGTTCCCCTGCTGCTGGCCTAACTGGGCCTCTAACCGGGGCCTGGCGCTAAGGAACCGACACGCCAGGGCCTAGTACTAATCTGACCAAAGCTAACCCGCCTATTCCAGATCAGCCGGGAGACTCAGTGTCCATAGACTTCATGGACACCCAAGTCAAAAGTAGACATGGTAAAAGCCAAGTCATGGTCATAGTCGACCGCTTTAGCAAGTATGCTGTTTTTGTCCCTTTGCCTGCAGAGGCACGTACAGATTTAGAGATACAGAAGTTCTTTGACTTTTGGGTTAGTGAGAATGGAATCCCATTGTCGATAGTTAGTGATGGAGATAATCGTTTCAGCACCCAGAACTGGCAAGAACTCATGAGAGTATACAGATCTAAGTTGTTAATGTGGTCYGGCCGTCACCCAGAGACTAACGGTCAGACAGAACA